TCCTGTATTTAAAATTAAGAGAAAAAAAACTGGAAGGAATTAATAGTGTGTTTTTAAACATTTGGTTTTTTTTTTTTTTTTTTTTTGGAGGGACTGGTGTTTGAACTCAGACAGAGCTTCAGATTTGCTAGGCTCTACTGCTTGAGCCACTCTGGAAGACCTTTTCTGTGATGGTTTGTTTTGTTTTGTTTTGTTTTTTTCCCAAGATCTCACAAACTTTTTACCTGGGACTGGCTTGGAACTGAGATCCTCCTAATCTCTGCCTCCTGAGTAGCTAGGATTACAGGCATGAGCTCCTGGCTCCTGGCTTGTTTTTGGTTTTTTTGTTTTGTTTTGTTTTGTTTGGTGGTACTGGAGTTTGAAATCAGGACCTTGGCACTTGCTAGGCAGGTGCTTTACTTCTTAAGACATATGTCCAGCACCTCCCTTCCAGCTTTTATAATTACTATTCTAGCCTCTTTCATAAAGAAATACGTGTTTTATTTTTTATAGTTTGCTTTCTATGAGCCCAGGTGAAGAAATCTTAACCATATTACAGACAACGCCATTTGATCTAGAAGAGCTTAAGAAGGAAGACGCTAATCTTCCCCCAGAGGATGGTAAGTGGTGGACTAGGATTAGAAAGAAAACATCCTACTAAGTCCCCCAGGGTCTTCCCTGTCTCTCATGTGACTGTAGGGTGGCAATATCATGCTTTCTTCTTTTTCAGATGACCAGTGGTTAGATCTCTCACTAGATCAGCTGGACCAGCTACTACATGAAGCTGCTGGCAAAAAGGAATCACAGCCCATTTCCAAGGAGGAGGAGCAGAACTATGACTTAACTCAAGTCTCAGACAGCATGAAAGCTTTCATATCCAAAGTCTCAACCCACAAGGGAGCAGAGCTGCCTCGGTAATTTGTGTTACAGTATAGATATCTAAAGATTATATCTGAAATGTTGAAGTCATCCTCAGATAAATTACTGCTTTTATTAATAGTAGACCTATCTTGTAGGGGTACAGTGTGGGTTGGTCCCTAAATGCATAACCCTAAATGTACATAAATAAGGTATAATTCTTTTCCTTCATTAAACTTTCCTATTTCTGTTGTCATGCAAAGGCCAATAAACACAGGATTTTTTTTTTTTTTTAATTTAAGCTACAATTTTCCTTGTCTCTCTTTTGGATATTTCTGCTAATTTTCTAAGAATGGCACCACTTTAGAAAAAGTCTCAGTATTGTATTCAGGATAAATTCTCTTTTTCGTTTTGCAGAGAACCTTCTGAGGCACCAATCACTTTTGATGCAGATTCTTTTCTTAATTATTTTGATAAGATTTTGGGTGAGTTACAGTGTGATGTTTACTCTTACTTTGGAACTTTAAGGAATATGGCTGTTACTAGAGCATTAGAGCGTTAGATCACTAAGAAGTCAAACACCTGCCTGGTGCCTGTGGCTCATGCCTATAATCCTAGCTACTCAGGAGGAACAGATCAGGAGGATTGAGGTTCGAGGTCAGACTGTGAGACCCTATCTTAAAAAAACCTATCACAGAAAAAGGCTGATGGAGTGGCTCAAGGTGTAGGCCCTGAATTCAAACCCCAGTTCACCCAAAAAAAAAAACAAAGTCAAACACCTGCTTTCTTTTTTTTTTTTTTTTT